CAGGGAACGGTGTTGAATTTTGGGAAAGAGCTGCTCCAGAGATCATGGCTCAGGACACTAAGACAGCAGATGTACGCAGCCAGTGGTTCAGGCAGTTCCGTTACCACGAGGCTGATGGGCCGCAAGAGGCTTGCAGCCGGCTCCATCAACTGTGCAGCCTCTGGCTGGAGCCGGAGAGGTGCTCCAAGAAGCAGATCCTGGACCTGGTGATCCTGGAGCAGTTCCTGACCATCCTGCCAATGGAGATGGAGAGCTGGGTCAGAGGGTGTGGGCCGGAGACCAGTTCCCAGGCGGTGGCCCTGGCCGAAGGCTTCCTCCTGAGTCAGGCAAAGGAGAAGAGGCAGGCAGAACAGGTGAGGGGGTTTCCCTCGCTCAGTTCAGGTCATGACATTATCCCAAGGTTTCTGGGCCAGCTATGTCTGCCTGTAGATAATTCACTCAGCAGGGAAGAAAACCCATCCCTGATTCTTGATGCTGTGGGTGAATCAGCTCTGCTGGTTGATGTAGGTATGAGGAATCTGGGAGTGGGGCAGGATTTATCTCCTCAACCTGTTCCGTTCCTTCACTTATGCATCTCCTTTTCTGCTCTTTCAGACGCGGGAACCAACAGTGAAGATGGAAGCAAAGCCCTCTGAGGCCGAAGGAGGTACGTTGGAGGAACAGCAGAGGGAGCAGGCCGAGGAGAGTGCCCAAGACGCCCTCTCACGTGGTAAGGGTGCCTTGTGCCCAACTTGGAGCTGGCAAACCTCATTGGAGAGCTTGGTGGGGGATGGTTTTCAGTCCTGGGTGGAGAGATGCTCAGCTCGGAATCGGGTAGGAGCTGGTCAGCCCAGCCGAACGACTTGACAGCAGAGTGTTGAGAGAGCCAGATTCCCACAGAAAGGAGTCTCCCAAGCTGTCTAAAATTTGAGTGTCACCAGCACCCTGCCTCTGAGAAGGGGATCCACAGGGAATCCAGGACGCGAAGTCCACAGAAGAGGGTTCAGTGTCATCCTGACCCTCTGCGTCCAGCATCTCCTGCAACTAAACTGCACAATACTGCACCCCAATTATAAGATGAACTCCTCAAACAGTAATTTTTTTCCTTTAAAGTGACGGCAGTCCTCACATATAAAGTTGCACGGCTTTCCATAAATTTCCCTCTAGGATTTGGCAGAATGCTCCCCCCCAAAAAAGTGCCAGTACTCTAGAATGCTCCCCCCCCAAAAAAGTGCCAGTACTCTAGAATGCTCTCCCCCCAAAAAAGTGCCAGTACTCTAGAATGCTCCCCCCCAAAAAAAGTGCCAGTACTCTAGAATGCTCTCCCCCCCAAAAAGTGCCAGTAGTCTAGAATGCTCTCCCCCCAAAAAAGTGCCAGTAGTCTAGAATGCTCTCCCCCCAAAAAAGTGCCAGTACTCTAGAATGCTCTCCCCCCCAAAAAGTGCCAGTACTCTAGAATGCTCTCCCACCAAAAAAGTGCCAGTACTCTAGAATGCTCTCCCCCCCAAAAAGTGCCAGTAGTCTAGAATGCTCCCCCCCCCAAAAAAAGCGCCAGTACTCTGTACCCGTGAGTACCGCCATATACACAAAAAATCCGTGCAAGTTTTCTGCAAGTATGAATAATGGTGTAAGGGGTGCCCTTCCTTACACCCCCCCATCCCAAAGCTGAAACTATTTGTTTGACTCCCCCCGAAGCCTCTGAGGGAAGAGAAAGTTGCCAAATTTTCAGGAATTTCCCAAGCCAGGAATGGCAATCCTGTCCAACAGGGCCGAATCGTAACAGTTTCCATAGGGTTGCCAGCTCCGGGTTGCGAAATACCTGGAGGTTTTGGGGGTGGAGCATGAGGAGGGTGGGGTTTGGGAAGGGGACAAAGTTCAGTAGGGTGTAAAGCCACAGAGTCCACCGTCCCAAGCGGCCATTTTCTCCAGGTGAACTGATCTCTGTCACCAGGAGGCCGGTTGTAATCCCAGGGGGTCTGTAGCCACCAATTGGAGGTTACATATAACTTAACATCAAGCAAAGCTCCAAAGTGTTTCAAATCTTAAGCTATTCTTCTTATTTAAATGTACTATCCAGAATATACTGTTCAAAAGAGTTAGTATACAGACAGGTTAAGAGAAGAAGAAGAAGAGAAGAGATTGGATTTATACCCCGCCCTTCACTACCGAAAGGTGTCTCAGAGCGGCTTACAAAGTCCTTTCCCTTCCCCTTCCCACAACAGACACCTTGTGAGGTAGGTGGGCCTGAGAGAGCTCTGACAGAAACTGCTCTTTTTTCAAGAACAGCTGTGCCAGAGCTTGTGACTGACCCAAGGTCACATCAGCAGCTGCAAGTGGAGGAGTGGGGAATCAAACCCGGTTCTCCCAGATTAGAGTCCACACACTTAACCACTACACCAAACAGAATCTGAGGGAAACTTTACAATCCCAAAATAGACTACACAATTCCAAAGTGGAGGGGGGGAAAACTTCACAATTCCAAACGGGACTGAAAAGTACAAATTCTTCATGTCTGTAAAGCAAGTAAGACCAGTCCTTAAGGCTTGAGGCAAACAATAAATGATGAGCTGCAGTCAACCTACTCTCCAGATTGTCCAATGGGTTGTCAATCCCTTCATCGGGACTGCACGGCAATGCGTTCTCCCCGAAGGTAGTGCCTCCAAGCTGCCTTATTTTACAGTCACGGGAACTCCCTCAGAACAATAGCCCCAAACTGCCTTTTTTGTCTTTATTCATGGTGAACGCGTGTAGCCTCACTCTGTAGGCATTCTCTCATCTAAACGCAGATAAAGAACCTGTTGGCTAGAGAGCTGTTCGCTAGAGAGGCCGACAAAAGGGGTGGGGGGAGAAAAGAGGAAAGGTTTTTTTCCCCTGTGTGTGGAGGGGCCTTGCTATTGAGTTGCCAAAGAGGACGAGAAGGGCTTCAGTTATGCAGCAGCAGGGGAAAAAACCTTTCAGCCGGATCCTGCAAAGATTTACTCACATGTAAGTCATGGTGGGATAAACTTTTCCATCTTGGAAGAGAGGAATGCTGCTGTTGTGTGCATTATTGAGGGGCGGGGCTGGGTGAGCCAGTTTGGTGTAGTGGTTAAGTGCGTGGACTCTAATCTGGGAGAGCCGGGTTTGATTCCCCACTCCTCCACTCGCAGCTGCTGGATGACCTTGGGCAAACCAAGGTTCTGATAAGAGCTGTCCTTGAAAAAGAGCAGTTTCTGTCAAGAGCTCTCTCAGCCCCACCTACCTCACAGGGTGTCTGTTGTGGGGAGAGGAAGGGAAACGAGATTGTAAACCGCTCTGAGACTCCCTTGGGTAGTGGAGGGCGGGTTATAAATCCAATCTCTTCTCTTCTTCTTCTTCTTTTAAATAGTTTCAAAATGTAATTTCATGATGCGTGCTTTGATTTGTTAGCCACCTTGGTGACCCTTGTGGGGGCAGAGTGGTGGGATCTGAATTTTGTAAATAAAAATAAATATAAATAAATTCTCGGCCATGGAGGTCCTATAGGAAGGCCAGACAGGAGTCCCAGGCTTATTCCCACGGGAGGAATCATTCACAACGATTGGCTGCCCCACAGAACACGCGTTTTGGTTGGTCCTCCCCCCACCTGCAGATTCACCGCCTCCCCCTGCTCCTGTTCATCCCAGCAGCTCCTGTGCCCTGAGTGTTCCCTCCAAGCTGAGTTAGTGTGAGCTAGCTCACAGTTTCTTAGCCTCCGGCTCACACATTTTTGTCATAGCTCAGGAAGGACGGCTCCAGAGCAGACTAATTTATGCAGTAGCCAAATCACTCGCTCACAACTCTCATGCCAGGAGCTCACAAAGCAGATTTTTTTGCTCACATGACTCCACAGTTTAGAGGGGGGTATTGGCCCTGACCTGTGCCCTCTGCCCTCTGCCCCTTCCCCTCTGCCAGCTGCTTGGACAGAGCTTTTGCCTAATGCTTCTGCGAACATTACCAGCCCTTTTGTCCTGGACTCTAGTTTACATTGAGACTGAGCTCCCAGGACAGACTGATACGTATTCATTGGAGGCCGAGATAATAACATCCACAATAGATTTGTAAAGATTAAATAGAGATCGTTTATTTTCCTGAAAGACAAAAAAAAAAGGTTTGATATGTAATATAGCACAAGGACCTTAATCCTGATGTGCCGACTACAATAAGGACGCTCCTTCTGATCCACTAGGACAATTCTTAGATGTCTCTTCACCAGGACTCGTGACATAGCTCCAATCTTTTTTGGTTTCTTTCTGCCTTTTTTAATATCTCTTCCTGTCCATCTTCATAGTCAAGTAAGTGTGTCTTTCCACAGTTGGAGGTGACCCAAGAGATGGGAAAGGAGATGGAAGAGGAGGACCTGGAATAGGCAAGAGATCGAGGAAAGGTCCCCATCCCATCCAAGCAGGGAATGGTGTTGAATTCTGGGAAAGAGCGTCTCCAGAGATCATGGCTCAGGACACTAAGACCGCAGATGTACGCAGCCAGTGGTTCAGGCAGTTCCGTTACCACCAGGCCGATGGGCCGCAAGAGGTTTGCAGCCAGCTCCATCGACTGTGCAGCCACTGGCTGGAGCCGGAGAGGTGCTCCAAGATGCAGATCGTGGACCTGGTGATCCTGGAGCGGTTCCTGGCCATCCTGCCCCCGGAGATGGAGAGCTGGGTGAGAGGGTGTGGGCCGGAGACCAGTTCTCAGGCGGTGGCCCTGGCCGAAGGTTTCCTCCTGAGTCAGGCAGAGGAGAAGAGGCAGGCAGAACAGGTGAGGGGCTTTCCTTCGCTCAGTTCAGGTCATGACATTATTCCAAGGCTTCTGGGCCTGTAGATAATTCCTGCCTGTAGATAATTCACTCAGCAGGGTAGAAAACAAATCCCTGATTCTCGTCCCTTTGGGTGAACCAGCTGTGCTGGTCGACGCAGGTGTGAGGAATCTGGGAGTGGGGCAGGATTCGTCTCCTCAGCCTGTTCCCTTCCTTCTCTTACCCATCTCCTTTTCTGCTCTTTCAGACGTGGGAACCAATAGTGAAGATGGAAGCAAATTTCTCTGAAGCTGAAGGAGGTACGTTGGAGGAACGGCAGAGGGAGCAGGCCGAGGAGAGTGCCCAAGACGCCCTCTCACCTGGTAAGGGTGCCTCGTGCCCAGATGGGATTGGGGCACATAGTGACGTTGTTGGGTAGAAGATTTAGGACAGGAAAAAACAAATACTGCTGCTCACAACACAGAGTACACTTTTGGGACGCAGGACCATAGGATGTAGTGATTGCCACTCCCTTGGAGGGGGACTAGACAGATTTAGGGGAGGATATTGAGAAGGTCCTCTATTTTAAATTTAGGGGTCTTGTTTGACCAGAGATTAACTTGGTCAGTAGTGCAAGCTGCTCATGTTGAAAGTTTGCCTACAGTGGCATCAAATATCATCTGTTGTTTCTCTTAGTCATCTGGGGCTCAGTCTGTCCCAGCCACCATCAAACCGTTCAACATCACGGTGGCCAGTGTTCCCTCTAAGCTGAGTTAGTGTGAGCTAGCTCACAGTTTTTTAGCCTCCGGCTCACACATTTTTGCCTTAGCTCAGGAAGGAGGGCTCCAGAGCTGACTAATTTATGCAGTAGCCAAATTGCTCGCTCACAACTTGAATGCCAGGAGCTCACAGAGGAGAATTTTTGCTCCGCAGCTTAGAGGGAACATTGACGGTGGCCGTGCAAAGTTTATATGGAGCTGGTATCTGGATTGACAGGACAGGGGAGTCCTTCGATTCAGTTCTTCTTAAATCCTGTGTTCCACCTGCGGAATTCCAAATTGTGTAGCGGGAGGGGGCGGGATCCCTCCAAGCTGAATTAGAACAACCATCTCTTGAAACACGGGCCTGGCTGAAGGCTTTTTCTCTTAAAGTTAAAATTATACCCCCCAAAATCCAAGAGGGATACTTGGACTTCGTCAGAGAGGACTGTTACGTTTCCCACTGATGAGCAACGACAATAGTTCCCCAGTCTCTTCTTGAATTCCTTTTATTCAGTTACCAGACAGGAAGCCGTAAAGATGATCAAGGAACATCTATGCAAGTACCATGAAAACAGTACAGTCCGTAGAACAAGATGTGTTTGTTCTACTCAATGTGTTGGTATTCTTTCACCTGGAGAGCTCCCCGATTACTGCTCATATTTGACTGTTTCCCTCTATTGTCATGCCTTTCTGTTGCCATGCCTTTACTTCCCTGCCATCGAGAGTATTGCAAGGGAGGTATCTTAAGATACCATCCTCTGATAGATGCAGGTAACGGAGACACCCTGTATCATTCATCCTTTGAATGCAACCATTTCCCTGAGCCCAGAAATCTTTTAATTCTTCCTTTGCTCCAAAACGTAGATCATCTGGAGACGTGACCTCTGTTGATAGAAGATAATAGCAGACCGGTCACTCTCTTAGCTGTGAAATGTTCTGCATCTGTGATAGATTTTCGCAGCCGTTCAAATGGGGTCTAGCCTTTTCTGTATTTTAATAATCTGCTCAAAACTAAAAAGTTAAAAAGCAGTACGCAGTAGAGAGAAACGCATGGAAGGCAATTCCGTTCTTTACTCCCTTTAATCAAAATAGTCACATCTCACCTTCCTTCTGTTAGAGAGACTCCAGGTGGCTCAAAATCGTAAAGCTAGACAAATCTGGGCTCAGCCACTAGCCATCATGAATAAATGGAACCTCCATGTTCTTGGGGCAGCATTACCTCTGAAAACCCATTGCCAGGGGCCAATCATTTGGTTTCTGTGCCCCTGCTTCAAGGTTTTCCAAGGGCATCTGGCAGGCCACAGTCAGAAAGAGGGTACCAGATTAGGAATGCCAAGCTGTTGCCTGCCGTGGTAGAGAGTTTGGTTCCCAGCTTCAGCGCTAAACGGCCGGAGCTCTTTCTCCCGCGTGCGGGAGTGTGGCTCATTGGCCAGGGCAGTGGGGGGGTGCATACGAATTCCCTTTATCCTATTATGCCCCATGGGCAGCCGTCATTCTTAACAGTGCCTATGTTAATTCATCTATAACTCTTCAATAAAGTATTACCTTTCCTGATAAGCGTGTACTACGTAGTTGGCTGTGGGTTCTAACAATAGGGTGGGGCATGGGGTAGGGTTGATGTCACGTTGGTATCTCATCTGTCTGAAAACCTGGACACAGACACTCTGGAAACCCATTAGTGTTACCCTAGGTTTTCCAGAGCATTGAATTAGGTGCTAGAGTCACATCTGGGCTTTTGGCTGGATGTAATGGCGACGTGGTGTTGGCGCAGCATCATTTCCAGCCCCATCTTTTTCTCCTGCCAGTCCGAACACAAGGGCACAAGGAAGGAGCAAGCTGGTGGGAGAGAGGGTACCTGTACCTGGATTGAGTGGCCCTTTGATCTGATCCAGCTGCCAAATATTTGAGCTCCAGGGCTGACAGGGCATTAATCAAATCTCACAGAACTCTGAAACGTCGGTACCCGATGCATCCGTCCTGAATCTCAAAGAGTTTGCAGAAAATGATTACAAGTTTTAGAGTTTTGTTGTTGGGCTAGATATCATGGTAACTTCTTGTAATCATCAGAAGACCTGCATAGCAAGTCAAATGGGAAGGGGGGGGGGAATGATTCTTTTCCACCTTTTGCCTTAAAGGGGAGGGACAGTCAGAATCTAAAAAGCAGCACTGCTGAAGAGCCTGGCCGGGGAAAAGTTGTGACCAGCAGCTTAGGTTGAGTGGAGTGGGGAGAGAAGCTCTGACAGAGGAAACAAAATGCACACCTGTCAATCAAGAGAGCCTGATTGGTGGCTTGGCCTCTTGTGTAAGTGCTGATTTAATTTCTCTCCTTATTCCAGCCAAAGATGTCAAGGAGACAACTGAGGAATCTGAGAGGTTCTCATTGGAAAGAGACAAGGAAGAAGAGTCTGACTTCTGGGATGGAGATAGACCAGAGAGGCAGGAAGGAAGCCATGAAAAGAAGATGAAGGAAAAACCAATTCCTTGCCAAGGAGGGGATTTACATGAAGGAATCCACATGGTGGAGGAAGCATATAAATGCTTGGACTGGGGGATGAATTTCTCAGATCAAACTCACTATGATATCGATTTGCAAGCTCACCCTGTGCAAAGGGCCCATAATTGCTTGCAGTGTGGAAAGAGCTTCCTTTGTGGAGAAGAGCTCATGAAACACCAGAGAATCCATATAAAAGAGAAGGTGTACAGCTGCTCAGACTGTGGGAAAAGTTTTTCAGAGAAATCGAGCCTTATTCAACACCAGAGAGAGAGTTCCCACCATTCAGGAGGGGAGTCATTTATCTGCTCAGAGAGTGGAAAGAAGTTATCTGATTGGAAGGCACACAAATGCTTTCCATGTGGAAAGTATTTCAACTGCAGATCGCAGCTCCTTTTGCATCAAAGAACCCACACAGGGGAGAAACCTTTTGAATGCTTAGAGTGTGGAAAGAGATTCAGTCACAGTGTCAGTCTTCAAGACCATCAAAGAATCCACACAGGGGAGAAACCTTTTGAATGCTCCGAGTGTGGAAAGAGATTCAGACACAGTATCAGCCTTCAGCGGCATCTTAGAGGCCACAGAGGTGAGAAACCTTTTGAATGTTCAGAGTGTGGAAAGAGATTTAGTCAGAGTGTCAGTCTTCAACAGCATGAAATAATCCACACAGGGGAGAAACCTTTTGAGTGCTCAGAGTGTGGAAAGAGATTCAGTTGGAGTGGCAGCCTTCAACGACATCTAGGAACCCACACAGGGGAGAGACCTTTTGAATGCTCAGAGTGTGGAAAGAGATTCAGTCAGCGTGGCAATCTTCAAAGGCACCTAAGAACCCACATTGAGGACTCAAAAGCTTTCTCCTCTGAGTGTGGAAAGACATTCAAACAGAGTATCAGCCCTCAACGGCATCTAAGAGGCCACACAGGTGAGAAACCTTTTGAATGCTCAGAGTGTGGAAAGAGATTCCAATGTAGGGTCTATCTTCAACGGCATCAAAAAACCCACACAGGGGAGAAACCTTTCAAATGCTCAGAGTGTGGGAAGACTTTCAAGGGCCATCTTCAAAGGCATCTCAGAACCCATGTAAGGGAGTAACTAACAATGCCCTTGGACCTGGACTTGTCAGCTGGAGATGCCGTCTTTAGCAGCATCTGAAAATCCACAGAGGAGAGTATGGGAAGGGAGCATGGGAAGGGACAACCTGGAGTGGTTGTCTTCAACGGCATCATAGAACCCGTAACAGTGTGAAAACCTCTGAATGTTCAGATTGCAGAAAGAGATTCAGCGGGAAATGCCATCCTCAGCATCATCAAAGAACCCACACGGGGAAAATCTTTCGAATGTTCAGAGTGTGGAAAGAGATTCAGTTAGAGCAGCCATTTTCAACTACATCAGAGAACCCACGCAGGGGAGAAACCTTTTGAACACGCAGAGTGTGCAAAGAAATTCAGTCAGAGCGGCCATCTTCAAAGGCATCTAAGAACCCACGTAAAGGAGTATCCAGTGATGCTCTCGGTCCCAGACTTGTCACCCACGACGGTCCGAAATCCGGCAGAGTTACCCTTCAACATGCTCCCAGCAGAATCTGGACTAGCATCATGGGAGACAGGCGCAGATGCCATCAGCACACTCCTCTCCACTGTCGAAGGATTATGCAGCTCTGGACTCAGTCCCGCTGACACCTGAGACAAACAAGCCAGTGTTGTGGGGCCTGGAGCAGCAGACGCTCCCAAACCCAGAACTGGACTCAAAGGTGGAGGAAGGCTTGGGCAATGGGGTGTGTGTGTTGCCACCAGCATCTGTAACCATGGAGGGATGCCTGCTGATGTCATCAGCAACCAGCCAGAAATAGCAGGGAGCTCAGGGAGGGGGAAAGAGATGCTATATGGAGAGGTGATCCCTCCTGGGCCAGGGGTCTGAAGGAACAAGCAGGATTGGGTGTGGAGCAGAGGGTGATGGGGTGGGCCAGTCCTAGAATTAGAAAGGGAGGGGCTGGGAATGAAGGAGGTGAGGAGCGGGGAGTCACAAAAGCTAAAGTCAAGCTGAGGGCTCCAGGGGATTGAAGGAGGTGCTGGGGCAGCCACCCTCATGCTCCTTTCACCCTTTCTGTGGGTGGCCAAGGTTGGAAGGAGGGAAGCAGAGATGGGGAAAGGCACAGAGCTTTCGGGGAACCCGGAGGGCACCCAGAGGGAGAAACCTTTTGATTGCTCAGAGTGTGGAAAGAGATTCACTCAGAAATCCAACCTTCAACAACATCAAAGAACCCACAGGGGGGGGAAGTCATTTCATACCTTAATGACAACCAGGGACAACAGAGTTGAGACTATGACCAATTTTCCACTATTTGCTGCGCGGCCGCAGTTCGACCCGCAGCTTTGCCCGATTTCCCGCGTGTATTCTTGATCCTGTTTTTTGAGGATCCAGGAGACTCGGGCGAAGCTGCGGGTCAAAATGCGGTCGCACAGCAAATAGTGGGAAATCAGTCATGGTCTCAACTCTGTGTTGTTTCTGGTTGTCTTAGGAAATTGACATATACAATCGGGGGAAAGGGAAGAGTGAGGGCAGAGCAGCAGCTTGTGGGAAATCAGTCCATATAAACTCTTGGGAAAAGTTTGCATATGCTCAGAAACTGTCCTGTAACTACAGAAACCAATTAAAATGCAGGCTGGGGAGAAATGTTATAAATTGTCAGATTGTGGAAGGAGGTTCAGTCATGAACAAATTCTCAGATAGCTCCCGCTGGGAAGGCAGCAAAGATTTGTTTGGGGGGGGGGGGGGGGCAGTGTGGCAGGATTTTGATTAAATCACAAGTTTTCTTGCTGATCCTTCATGTTTTCATGTAGCTGTGAGCTCGTATCAGGTTTTGTCAGAGATGGTCAGTCTGATTGCATAAAGTTTTTCTTGTATCGTGGACAGTTAATTAAAGCAGTTGCTGAAATATTAGATTCATTGCCTTTCGATTAAGGTTGGCCTTCTAATCTTGCTTTTAAAAATACGCACATATCATATGTATTTTTAGACACCCCTGTTTGGTTATCTCACCAGTGGTTAAGAAGCAATCATTTGCCTAGATGATGATCCCATATTTTAGTCAGAAAGGTTTAGCATAAGAAAAGACCGCTGTTTTTCCTGTGTAAGCATCTAGATGTGATAAGTAAATCAGATTTGACTGGATGGAACTCTTAGATATTAGGTAACTCAGGGCTCTTTTTGTAGAAAAAGCCCAGCAGGAACTCATTAGCATAATAGGCCACACCCAACAGCAGAAACTCATTAGCATATTGGGCCACACCCCTGACAGCCCAGCTCATTAGCACAGTAGGCCGCACCCACATGTTACCAGAAGTGTGGTTATCCAGTCACACCCACCTTTTGCTTCTTATTCTGTTTACCTTGTTTGTTGTCAAAACACAGGGCCTTTTTTTGTAGCAGGAACTCCTTTGCATGTTAGGCCACACACCCCAAATGTAGCCAAGCCTAATGAGTTTCTGCTGTTGGGTGTGGCCTATTATGCTAATGCGTTCCTGCTGGGCGTGGCCAACTTGGGAGCCAGCCGGAACTCCCAAAAATAGCCCTGGGTAACATTTCTCTGTATGTGTTATTTGGGTTTATATGGCTAGACCTGAGTCCAGTGGCAACTTAGAGACCAATAGGATTTTCAGGGTATAAGCTTTCGAGGCCCTGACCTGGATAGGCCAGGCTAGCCTGATTCCGTCAGATCTCAGAAGCTAAGCAGGGTTGGCCCTGGCTAGTAATTGGATGGGAGGCCAGCAAGGAGTACCGGAGTGGTGACACAGAGGCAGGCAATGGCACACCACTTCTGAGCACCTGTTTGGCTTTGAAAATCCTTCCCTCAAAAACCCTGTGGGGTTGTCATAAGTCAGCCCTGACTTCACAGCTGCAACAATAAAGCTTTCAAGGGTCAAAGCCCCCTTCTTCAGAGAGATAAAAATTACATAAAGATTCCTAGAAGCAGTCTGAGATCATAATCTGATGCTTTATATATTCTAATATGGTTGAGAAATGCTTGAAGTTTTGATTTTGTTGGCACTGGTTTTCGCAGCCGCTATTGGGTTAATTTTGTATTTTCTAACTTCTTGCCTAATAAAGAAGATGGGGGGAAACTGATAAATCCTGGAGGTAGGTAAAGTTCCCTTGCTTGAAAGCCAGTCGAATCCAACTCTAGGGTTGTGGTGCTCATCTCCGTTTCCACACCGCTGTCCGAAGACGTTTCCGTGGTCATGTGGCTGGCATGACTAAATGCCAAGGCGCACGGAACGCTGTTACCTTCCCACCAAAGTGGTACCTATTTATCTACTTGCAATTTCTTGCTTTCGAACTGCTAGGTTGGCAGGAGCCTGGGACCAGAGACAGGAGCTCATTCCGTCATGCGGCACACTCTGGTCTCGAACTGCTGACCTTCCACAGCCTGCAGTTCAGCATCTTAACCACTTGAGCCACCGCAGCTCAAGTATCCTGGAGATACTTGGGGTTAAATGGTTTCAAAAGCAATTGATTTCTTAAAACAACTAATTATCTAATTGAATATGAGAGCTCGTTACCTTTTATAGGAGTTTTAAGATCCGCTCATCTCTCTTTCAGCATCAAGGCCTCCAAAAGGGGGGGGGGACTTGGAAGTTTGACTGTGGTATTGTCACATTGACCAAAAAGCTGATATTTGGCACACAACCAATGCAAAATGTATCATTGATGGAGGACACCCTGAAATTTCGGCATCTATTGAGCATATTTCTTCCAAGAAGGGTGTGTGCTCCATTTTAATCTTGACAACTACCTTGCAATGTATGTTAATCTGAAAATGTGGTTAGCTGAAGGTTATCCAATGAACTTTCTGGCCAAGGGTGGATTTGAACCCAGATTTTCCAGGTCACAAGCCAAAACTTTGGCTCTTGAACATAACTGTGAATGTGGGCAAAGTGGGTTGGATTCATTCAGGGGGATCAGTCATGGCATGAGGAGCCAGTCTCAAAACATCTGCAAAGGATTTATTTCTACAGCTTCATACACATTTTTTTAAAAAAGACGTGCCACGCTCATCTTCATTTTTTAGGAGACGAGGAGGAGGAGAAGAAGGAGAAGAAGAACAAGATTGGATTTATACCCCGCCCTTCACTACCCAAAGGAGTCTCAGAGCGGCTTACAAACTCCTTTCCCTTCCCCTCCCCACAACAGACACCCTGTGAGGTAGGTGGGGCTGAGAGAGCTCTGACACAAACTGCTCTTTTTCAAGGACAGCTGTGCCAGAGCTTGAGACTGACCCAAGGTCACATCAGCAGGTGCAAGTGGAGGAGTGGGGAATCAAACCCGGTTCTCCCAGAGTAGAGTCCGCACACTTAACCACTACACCAAACTGGCTCTCTCAGGACACTTGCACAATATAGAAACCTCCCATTTGTTAGAGAAAACACATCTAATAAACAACTTGTGTCAGTGCATCTGGTAGGAGCATCTGGGTGTGTGTTCCTTCTCGGTCCATTTTCCAGGCAGGGTTTTGGAATGGCAACTGCTTCAGTGGCCAGGAGGGAAGACCTAATCTGGGAAAGGGAGAAAGGTGGAGCGTGTCTGTGCTGACTCTCCATCGATACTGTAGGTGGTGGTATCCTTCGCTGCCAAGTCACCAAGATTGTCATTGGGGGCATCGTCCTCTGGTGGTTCTGGCCCGATCTGTCTGATTGGTCCCCAAAGTGGGGCTGAGGGACTCATGTTTGATAAGTGCCACAGGGTCCCAGAGACCTCTCTCTTGTCCTCCATGCTTTGGATTCTGGAATGTTCTGGGAGAATCTGAGCGTCTGAATGGTATCTCTGCTGGAGTCTCTGATCAGGTCTGGAATGTGACACTCCTTGAGCACTGGACTTTCCAGTGTCCTCTTCCTCCTTCAAACAGGAGTCTGGCTCCATGGCTTACCCCAGAACTGGACTAATTACGGAGCAGAGTCGTTCCCTTCTAATCCCTCAATTCTCCTTTGGACTGCACACTTCAAGGAGGTTGAGAGGAAAGCTGTGGGCTGGGATACTGTTGTTTGTAAAAGTTACAAAAAACTGAAATAAAAATAAAGTTGTAAAAAAAAAAGATG